GTAAACCTTTACTCCAAAGTTAATTTTATTTACATATCTAAAAACTATGATTCCACTAAAAGACTTTTATTTTTTTACCGACCTTTACTCTAACGCTTATTTCATGAACATATCTAAAGACTATCTATAACGTTGAAACATGGTTCTGGAACGTTACATAGAGGTTGCAATAATTCCTTTGGATAACCCCCCCACCAAAAAAAAAGACGCCGGAAACGTTACGTTATAACGATGCAAATATTTTGCCTTGTAACTTTACCTTAACAGAAATGGTTAATGAATTCAAGGAAGGTGTTAGAAGCTGAGATTCATTATTTAAATTAGATTTCTTGGTTGGTTGTTTTATTTAGTGGCATATCGACCTCATCGGTTTTTTAATGCCGAAATCTAAATATTTCGCACGCAATTTTATTTAATTAATTTATTAATTCTTTTTTTTTTTTTTTTTTTTAGAGATAATAACAATTTTAGCGATACAAGTCTTATTAATTAACCCATAGATAGGGGAGAAGAGGTAGATTCTTATTATTTCCAAGGCTATTTGCGCGTTGTGAATATATCAAAACTAACTGGAATTGGAACTTGACCTTCCGATCAACAATTCCTACCCATAATCCATTGCACCACCTGCACATCCCAGCTTAGAGCACCTGGTATTCCTAAGCGATTAGCTAGCTACAGGGTAGTACGAAAGTTTTATCACCCCCTACGAAAATGTAACAAGTAATACAGTAATACGAAACACATTTACTGTATTCAGTTTATTCAATTTCATTGACGCTGTCACATATCGAGAAAGTCTGTATGAATACCATCATTTTTCTTCTGAAATAGAAAATTATATTATCTAGGGGTGATACGATTTTCGGATCACCCTGTAGATACTGACTAGGCTCGCTGTTGCTTAACTTTGGTACGGGAACTATTGTCTCAATGTGATGTGGTCGTAGGCCTTATCTAAATTAGTGATTCTCAGATTTTAAAAGAATATTTCTACCTTCTAAACATATTGTTAAGCGGAGAAAAAGAATTTCTGATGTTATTTGACCAATACGTAATTATTCAACTACGGCATTTTGCAACGTTACCCAAACGTAGAAGATGAGAGGTCAGTTTGGGGTCAGGAATATAGTTAGTTGAAATGTTGTAGTAATGTCGACACACTGTTACACATTCCCCAGTCAAAATACAACGTATCTGCAACATTGCAAGAACAGTACGTGCTAGGTAGGAAGAATACCATGGATAGAACATGTGAACAAATTGCAAGTTTTCTGGAAAATGAGAACGAGAAAGACATCTGTCATTAAGATCAAAACAAGTTGAAATTTCTGGGACACATCTTTTTTAAATCAGTTCACCCCAAGCAAGGCGAGAGTGCACCTAGTACTTAGGGGTTTACAGAGAGTGAAAGTGAGAGAAAAGTCTGTGTATAGTGGGTGATTGAGAAAAAGGATAAAAGATGAATGGGATTCAAGAAGACAGAAGATAGCGATCGACGTTGCATTTAAAGTTTTGAAGACTGTATTTTTCAGGGAAGCCAGTAAACGGAAAAGAGTTCCACGGGCGGGAAGTACGAGAAAAGAAACTGTTGGAGTAGATGTGGTGGTTACAGTTAACTATTTCGACACTAAAAGGTTGGAACCGAGATGCCAATCTAGTGGCATGCTTGAATTTATCTTGTCGGGTCACCAGGAGATAAAAGCTCGCCAGAGCAGTTGCCATGAAAATATTTGTAGAAAAGACAGAGGGAAGCCACATCTCGTCTGTGAGAAAGTGACTGAAGTCGAGATGCCAAGTTAGGATCGATTACACTGCAGATCCTTCTTTGTATTTTATCAAGAACTTCGAGAAGGGTAAAATATACCTATTAACGAAAGGGTAATTAAACACAATTTATAATAGTGTTTAATTACCCTTTCGTTGATAGGTATATTCTTGTATATGTCATATCCCTACAGTGCGTGGGTGATCATGTTTCTCCACAACTTCCTACTATTCGTAGCCCAAAGCAATATTTGCCACCGTATTGCTCCTCCAAATTTCTGTTCTGCTATACAAATTCGTTAGCTAGATTACTTGCTGTTCCCCTTTGTTTTTTCTTGACTTCTGAGTTCTACGCTGTTTCTGTTTCTGGCTTTAAATAACATACCAAAGGGTGATAAACCGTAAAAAAAATCAGTATTCCTACCAAGCGTTCACTTACGCACAAATACTCTTGGGAAGGAATGAATCCATCCCTTCTTCCCCCAGCTATATGTTAACTAGACAAGACTCTCTTTTGGTTAGCAGTTAGTCTATCGTAGATGTCCTCAACCAGGTGGGAATTCAACCCAGGAGGAATTTCAGGGTTTATGTTATGGGAAAATATTTTACATTTTTTTGGGGGGGTGGGGGTTATTTACAGAATTTTGTTTATTGAATAATAATACCTTCGTATTCTATCTGTCGACGTTTGCATTTACTCACCTCCACCACGAGGTCAGGTTGTGACACAAGATCGGTTTAATGTGGGGATCCCGAGCGCGTACACCAGGGCTAGGAACAGAAATTGTCCGCAGCCGCCGCAAACGTCGATTGCGCTGTCCTCGGTGAGAGCACCGATCCCTCTCTCTGGTGCAATGAGAGGGCGCGACCTCGGGCAGCTGTTCCCCATGGCTGGGCACCTCTTTGTATAATTTTCCTCAGTTGCGACTCTGTCCTTTGAAGGAGCCGCTCTTAATCGCGCTCTTCCCAAAGACAGAGACGCACTATCTGTCGATATTTCTGAGATGAGATATTGTAATTATTTATACTATTAACATTGTTCGGGCTGTTGTCCTCATATTTCTTGCCATATTCACGACGTTTGAACATGGCAACAAAGACGAGGACAACAGTTCAAACAATGTTAATAGTATAAATAACTTTGGTATTCTACTGAGCATTTTGTTTTTTGAATTATGCTTCAGTTTATTTATTTAATAATTAGTTATGAATTAAAACATATTATTGTGCATGTATTCAGTTTTAAAAACCCATTAATATTTTCTATTGCTATTAAATTTGTAAAACACTATAAAAATCCATTAATATTTTCTATTGCTATTAAATTTGTAAAACACTATAAAAATCCATTAATATTTTCTATTGCTATTAAATTTGTAAAACACTATAAAAATCCAGTAATATTTTCTATTGCTATTAAATTTGTAAAACTCGATAAAAATAATCCATGTAAATGTATATGCACTGACACGGAAAAGAATGAAGATTTTCAATAATTGGATAAATTGTCGCCTAAATTACACAAAAAGGAAAATAATACTATCATCTCATTTTAACAGATATATTTACCAAAATTACATACAAATATCTTGAAATACGAAAGAGTAGATTTATTCAATAAAATCGCCATTGGCTTCAATCATGACCTCCAGACGACTCGGAATCTCCTGCAACTCTTCTGGACGGTCTCCTTGTTTAAGTTGATGAATGATGCCATAATCCTTGTCTTTAATTCTTCTTTTGTGTTACAAGGAGTTTTGTTGGTCTCTCACTCAACTGCGCTACACACACAATAATCAAAGGGGGTGCAGTCCGGGGAGTTAGCTGGCCAGATGTAAGGGGTGATGCGGTCGCAGGAATTGTCTAACAGCCATGACTGGGTTTTCCTATTTGTGTGGTATGGTCATAGGGTCTTCTAGCAGCCACCCTTTTGATCCAGAGAGACACTACCTCAAGGCACATGATGTAGGCCTCCGTGTTGAGTCTGAGGGCCTGTGGGAAGATGAATGGAGTCATAACGTCGCCATCACTCGTGATCACTTCAAACACCATGATGTTGACTGGATACATCATCCAACTCTTTCTGAATCCTCTGCACTGTCCTCAGATTGACACCCAAACACTCTGATATGTTCGTATTGGAGCTTCCAGCGCGAATGCCAAACAATAGAGTATGTCGTTTCCAAATTTCTAGCGGAGTGAATTGCCTCATGGTGCTCCTTTTTTCACAGACGACGTCCAACTAACTCTACTATACTGTACAGTCGACAAAATCAAAAACAAACAACGCGCATGCGCGAAATTAAAAATATAAGATGGTGACAATTTGCCAATCGCTCCCTGTATATGCATTTTATTTGGAATTAACCTTTTGAGTCGGACAACCTTGGAAAGCGGGTGGAGAATGATATTCTGACGTATTGAAAAGGGTGCATTGGGTAAAAAAGATTGAGAAGCACTGTCTAGGACAACTCTGAATTTTAAAATGGCTGGTGTTTGGGATAATTACATCCCGTAAAAATCTACTTGCTACAAAATCCATAGCAGCACCCGGACAGTAGTCCCATACCCCTCAGAGTTATTTGCAGTGTTAGAAATAACATCTTTCAACTTGTTTAATGTTACACATTTTAAGATCTTTTTTTTAAATATATATTCTACGACCGTTAAATACACAGCATGGATTGAAAACAAAATAGTCTGACGAAGCATCTTGTCCATTTTTTTTTATTTCTTATCAAGAAAGGAGATAAAAGCAATGTCTACTTTGGAAAACCACTCTCGGTATTTAACCAAGTCCCCACCTCACAAGGCGAGATGTGGCACAAGGCCGTTTTTTGACGTGGGGATTTACGATCGCGTACGCCAGAAAAAAAAAAATTCCCCGTAGACCCCGTATTGACGGAGTCGGGTGGCTGTCTACCTCCCCAGACGAGACTCTGTCCGTAGGCATAGCCTCGTCTGAGTTCCTCTTCGCCCGAAGGCAGAGACTCTCAACAAATGTAACACATTTTGCCAGCCTTGACAGAGACGAGTCTCTCCCTGTCTTTCTCTCCTCCTTTCACACACACACACACACACACACACACACACACATATATATATATATATATATATATATATATATATATATATATATATATATATATATATATATATATATTTGTGGTAGAGTTGTACAATAGGCACAGCGAAGAAAAAAGGAACATTACTCTTGTTTTTTTCGATATCACAATAGAAAAAATTATGAAAAACATAGATAGATAGATAGATAGATAGATAGATAGATAGATAGGAACATAATGGGAAAATACATACGAACATAATGGGAGGGTAGATAGATAGATAGATAGATAGATAGATAGATAGATAGATAGATAGATAGATAGATAGATAATGGGAAAATACATACGAACATAATGGGAGGATAGATAGATAGATAGATAGATAGATAGATAGATAGATAGATAGATAGATAGATGAACAGAATGAGTTAGCTAGCTAGATAGGAAAAGGAGATAGATAGATAGATAGATAGATAGATAGATAGATAATGGGAAAATACATACGAACATAATGGGAGGATAGATAGATAGATAGATAGATAGATAGATAGATAGATAGATAGATAGATAGATAGATAGATAAACAGAATGAGTTAGCTAGCTAGATAGGAAAAGGAGATAGATAGATAGATAGATAGATAGATAGATAGATAGATAGATAGATAGATAGATAGGTAGATAGATAGATAAAAAGAAAGAAACACACGTAAACCAATAGATCGATCCGAACAGACCGATCGACGGGCAGTCTCTTTTTGTAGCTAAGATATTAATAAATTCTCTAATATATAAGATGTAAATAGATATGTTTCCTTGTGCGGACATGGTGAATATATTCACCAAAACCTTGCTCTCTGCTAATACTTGCTATCTAGCAAGTAAATCGACCAGGTCTTCATGAAAGCTTTACAAATGGCATCGCTGAGTTAGCACATAAATACACCTGTAGATTGTGTTAAAAAAAAAACCTTTGCATTTAAGAAGGTGGCGAATATGTTTAAACTCCTGCAGCTGGTTTCTTGAATAGATTTGCTTTCATTTACATTTTCTCAGACATTTATATCTTATCGAGAAGAGAAATAAAACAAATAATTGCACAGAAATAAAGTGCACAAAGAAACTACGCACAAACACACACACAAATATATATATATATATATATATATATATATATATATATATATATATATATATATATACACGTTTCAATAAATAATATAGACAAGTGTTGTCTATTTATTTTATGTAAAATTTTTTCGTAACGTCTGATAAGTTTAATAACATTATCGCTGAACGAAGAAAGAAATTCACAATATTGATCCATATTTTTTTTTAATACAATCTAAGCTTTCGGCTTACATAAGCCATTATCAAAGATGTCAATTACAACATATTAAACAATATACGAACACGACAGTGATGATAGTCTGTCAATGTTTACATAGATGATTTCTAAGCAACGATAAACACGCACATATAAGATGCTAGATGCGAAAATCGCATCGCATCTCATGACGTCACACATGACCACACGAGAGTGAATTGGAGAAGTATGAAGTATGGGAAGCCGTTGGTATAAACCAATGGCTTCTGTTACCAATTATAGACATTTAAGGATATTTGTAGAGATTCCATAAAATAAATAGACAACACTTGTCTATATTATTTAATGAAACGTGTATGAATGAAAAGATGCTGCCTAAATACACACAATATATATATATATATATATATATATATATATATATATATATATTTGGTTGATAGATGTGAGTTTTAGATTGGGTTTCATTGCTTTAGCGATCGTCAGACAAACAGTTGTCTGACGATCGCTAAAGCGTGAAACCCTTTGAGAATGGAACATTCTTCGTGTGTAGTGAGAATACAGGTTCTACTCAGAACGGCGAGGATGCATCGCTGATCGAAACGTTCAAAGAGAGATAAGTACACTGACTGATTCGATGCTGACAGGGGAATATGGCAGTGGGATGGCTTTGTAGACCTTTCACACCTCAGGTTTTTATTTATCCTGACAGAGCTGGGTAGACTAGAAAACTGTTAGCAATACTATTTTTAACTCTGTTTTAGTATTTGTGAGTATGATATTTTCCAGATACATAACGTCCTAAAACAAACATTCTCTTAGACTAGTGACCAATCAAGGCTAAAAAGCCTAGTATATCCTTTCATTTAACTGACATCCGGAAGAAGAGATAGATTCGTGTTTTCCTAAGTGCATCGGTGCGAAAGTAAATGCAACAGACTGGACTGGATATTGAACGTGTCTTGACGATTCCACTTAACGCGTCAATAACTGTTACTCTCTTTTTAATAAGAAAAGCCAAAAATAATCTGTTGAGGTAACTGCGGTTAAAATGGAGTCTCTATCTATTTTGTAGCTTTTTTTTTTACAGGATATTGTTTCAATTATTTGATTTTATTAATAGTCTGGAAATTCAGCTTCATCTCAAGAACCCGCTGATTTATGGAAACAGAATCCCAAAAAGATGTTTCCCTGATCACTATAATCTTGACCAGTTCAAATCTAGGGTTAACCATTATCTACACTAAATATCCTCATAAAATAAATAGTCATTAAAATTTAAAATTTAAAATTTAAAATTAAATAGTCATTCTTATTGCATCTAATTTCTAAATTAAAGGAAAAAAAATATAGGGTCTGCATTATTCGAGTTTTTAGGCATTTGATTTGAATAAAGAGAGATAATTATATATTCATGCGTGTGTCCGTGTGCGTGCGTGCGCGCGTACGTGTTTGTGTGTGTGAGGGAGTGTGCGTGGGCGGGTGAAATTTGTTCCTGTCCCTCGTCGGTCATCCACACGTCATTCTATTTGTTTTGTCACAACTAAATAAACTATTCAAAATATGTCGTCTCCCTCAACTCCACGACTTCTCTCTCTTTCATTCTCTCTCTTTCATTCTTTCTCTTTCACTCTCTCTCTCTTTCACTCTCTCTCTTTCATTCTCTCTCTTTCCCACTCTCTCTCTCTCTCATTCTCTCTCTTTCATTCTCTCTCTTTCACTCTCTCTCTCTTTCATTCTCTCTTTCATTCTTTCTCTTTCACTCTCTCTCTCTCTTTCATTCTCTCTCTTTCATTCTCTCTCTTTCATTCTCTCTCTCTCTTTCATTCTCTCTCTTTCATTCTCTCTCTCTCTCTTTCTCGCATTCTCTCTCTTTCATTCTCTCTCTTTCACTCTCTCTCTCTCTCTTTCATTCTCTCTCTTTCAGTCTCTCTTCTCCGCCACCACTTTCTCTCTTTCTTTTCTGATCCTTTTCTGTCTTGGCCTGTATGCAGTGAGCTCACATTCAGTTTTTTGAACACACACACACACACATATACATACGTACATATATATATATATATATATATATATATATTGATAATATATTATCAATATATTGCTCCTTACCTTTATATATATATATATATATATTGATATGGTGTTTCTTTTGTTAGCCTGGCTTTCATGTCAACTGTCCACTTTTATCAAAAACGTTACAGTCAGGGAAGCAGAAAAAAATCAGTACAGGTACGTAACAAAAAGAAACTGACACCTGTATTTTCAACCCAGCAGACAATCTGACATGCCGTTAGCAAATCTTATTTTTACTTATTATTTTCTCAGGCATTGGACTTATCAGATCTGATGTTTTCATCTTGACTGCATTCAAAACTCATCAAGTCTTCCTTTCTCTCTTCTGCAATGTTTTTTTTTCTTACGTCACCTTTTAAAACGGATCTTCTTCTGTGTGCCGTGTCCCTTCTGGACGTTGGCGATTATGGCTCTCTACAAGCACCTGTACTTTGTAGGTCTCAGTGTAGTTTATCTTTTTCTTACCTCTCCTAATCCCTGTTCTGCCAAACATTTACATAAGCATGTTAGCTAGGTTATGCGTTGGCTTCGTCTCTCTCGATTTCAATCTGTCCTGTGAGTGTCAAATTTTCGAAGCCCTCTATCCTCATTATATACCCTAAAACGTTCAACTATATTTTTTTGTTTTTAATGGCAACGTCTTCAGTCAATAGTATTCTCATAATCTTTCTTTAGAAACACCTTTTTGGTGCTTCAAGTCTCTTCTTCATCTGTGAGGAGATTGTCCACTGCGTGAGGAGATTGTCCACTGCCATATAGGAGGACCAATATTACATAAGTGTTCAATACCCTATTTTTTTGCTTCTAATGCCAACGTCTTCAGTCCATAGTATTCTCATCATCTTTCTTTAGAAATACCTTTTTGGTGCTTCAAGTCTCTCCTTCATCTGTGAGGAGATTGTCTACTGCCATATAGGAGGAGCAATATTACATAAGCGTTTAGTACCTTTTTTTTAACATGTTCATTAAAATTCATGACTTGATTTTATCTTTTTTTTTCTGCAGTTTAGGATGTGCACGTATCGTAAGGATTATCAGCTGGAAAGTGGAATCGGAGTGCTGAGTTCAAACTCCTACCGAGTTTATTGCGTTCACTTTTGCACAAACACGCTTGGAAAAGACATGACTCCGTTTTGTCTCTTCTTAATCTCAGGGAAGACCAGGCTCTCTATTTTTGGTCGTCAACGATGAATCATTTTCATTTCCTTCATATTCCATTAGTAAGGAGTAAGTTCCACCCAAGCAGCTTCTTCCCTAGAACTGCTGCTTTGTGTGACAGACTCCCCGCACGATGTTTTTCTCAATCACTACAATTTTTGACTTCTTCAAGTCTAGAGTTAACCCTTATCTTTCCTACATAACCACATGAACTTCACTTCTTACCTTTTTAATGCTCATACAACACCACATAGTAACTCTCTACTTCTCTTCATATTCCATTAGTAAGGAGTAAGTTCCACTCAGGCAGCTTCTACCTAAGTATTGCTACTTTATGGAACAGACTACTGTCAGGATATCTTCTCGATCACTATAATCAAGTTAACCGTTTTCTTCTCTCCATAACCTCATGAACTTCACTTCTTGCCTTTTCTTACGCTCATACAGCACTACACAGTAACCCTCTACCATAATTGGCTCTTGGGCCTTGTATTCGTTGAACATTAGTATAAAAGAAAACTCTGAATTCAAAAAAAAAACAGTTGGGCACAGGACTGGCAACTCCACCCAGTAAAAACCTGCATGCTACAGAAACGACGCCTGTGGCACTATGGGGGTACACAATGTGCTGTGATGGTTATCAGCGCCGAAAGTCAAATAAACAGTCTGAGTTCAATTCCGGTTGAAGCTGTCGCGTTCAATTTACCCAAATACGTTTCGAAAAAAAATCATGAGCTATCTCTCCTATCAATCTATCACCGAATAATAGATCCTTTGCTCTTTAATCTTTGTTTGGCAGCCAGTCTAGGAGAAAGACAACCCTGGACACAAAACTGTAGATAATCACTATTAAGCAAGCTTTAATAACTTTTAAGCAACTTAACACAAGAATCGACACGCAATTCTCAGATAATAAAGAAAAGCCATAACTGCCTGAAGGGACAAGACATAAAGTAATAAATATAGTTTAGATACGATATTTGCTTTCTAGATTGCCAGGCTCCCTTTATGTCACAATTTTTAGTGAGCATCAATCCAAATTGACATTATGACAGAAATGTCGTCATATTATATCGTGAGCTCTAGGCGATTGAGTGGGGAATGTCTCCATTACGTAATCTCCGGATAGATAATCGTCCGCTGATCGAAAATTGAACAAATGAGAATTCCTCTATGAATTTCTGTCATTATCTACATGATTTATAGTCAGATTAATGTCCTTATATATATATATATATATATATATATATATATATATATATATATATATATATTATTCACAACGTTTTGACTGTTGTGTTTCCCGGATTTCGTCAGGTGTCAGCCCAATCTACAGGGAATTTCGAATTTCACTTTATTTAATCTAGTTTAAACCGGACTGACAATAACTTAACAGTATCCAGTGAACAATTAACCGAGTCTAGATATCCTTAGACATGGACAGCGGACCAAGAACAGTCTACTACTAAAGATTTTCTGATCTATAGCCACGTTAAGCTCTTGTCTCGCATCTTCACTGTTTCATTCAGTCTTTACTTTTTCAGAATTCGGGCTTCCACTAAGCACTGTTTCCATTTTTACCGCAACGTAATAGTTCCAATGTAGTTTATATCGCCATAATGAAAATTATTTTCAATATGGCGATATAAACTACTTTTTCCCCCCTCTGTCTCATTTCCTCAACACAAATCAGGCTCTTCTCGCCTTCTTTTCTATTTTAATAAAGTCTATCAACATCTGTCCACGGGGTAAATATATCTGTATATGGTTATCACTTTTCTCGTTTTTCTGTCTGTGTTCCGCAGATCATCTTTGGTTCAGTCAATCACTCTAGCTCCATAACGGATAACTGACACAACTCGATATCTGATTGCGAGCACAATGTCTCCTACATTAAATAAAGGGTCAATTTCGAAATTCCAGGATCGACAGACACCTGAAGAAAACCTGAGGGCAAAACGGTCGAAACGTTTGTCTAACAAACGCAAATAACATGAGACGTAGTCGTGAATTATATGATACTGCAGTTCAATGTTGAAAGTGGAATATCTACTCCCGTTCCCATTTTTCCCGTTTCTGGAGCACGAGGCATTGTAAAGTGATTGTGCAATAAAAAGTAACCCACAGGCAACATTTATTACATGTTTTCCCGTTGCCTGAATGTAGAATTTTCTTATGGGACCTATTCGTAAGTAGAAATAGCGTGAATCGGAGAATGTTCTTACGTTTGAGATTTACATACCAGTCACATGCATCACAGCCAAATACGTGTTATATAGAGACAGATTTTGAAGGAAAAAATACAACACAGTCGCGGCATGAATGTAATAGTTCCCAGGTACTATTTTCAATATAGCTATATTGTGGAGTTATTCCACTTATTTTCCTAAAAAAAAAACGCCGCTAGGGGACGCTCCCTAAGCCTATAAGCAATTTCTTAAGGTCGGGTAACATAGTTCTCCGAATTATTATTATTATTATTATTACTGCTACTACTACTAGTGTACCCGTGTCATCAAAATTGATGGCAAGAAGGAATGTATTACAAGTAATATGTATTATATTGTAAGTAATTTTAGTTTAATCCAAGGAAAAATTTGTAATTTAAAATAGTTCGTTTTTAACGTTAATAATTGAACAGTGTACAATTTATAAACACCTAAGGAAAGGTATCCGTATATTATACTCATGAACGTTACATATTTACAACAAAAATTATGTTTGTAAGTACTGGGTAATTCTATCTGTAATGTCAGAGTCTGCTTATTTCTCGTCCTACTAGGAGCAACGTATCATCAGATATTTTTTTTAAATTTATTTTTTTATCCCTTAACCACTTTTTTTTTCTAATTGTAATTTTTGAAGTTTAAAATGAATTTATAAAAACGAACAAAGCATTCTTGAAGATATATGTGTCGTATTATATATACGAACCTTTTTCGATAGAAATATCAGGAATCTTCTTCGATAGAGATATCAGTATGCGTCAACGAGACCAAGTTTGCATGGCACCGGGTCGGTCATCGTTATATGTTGTTGTTTACTGGCAAAACTTTACTGTCAACGTCACCACTCGTGTCTTAATAATAAACCAATTATTTCTTCTTTTCACCGACAGTCTTTCCGAGGTATCCTTGCTGTTCCTCGCAGCTTAGATTTTTGGAATGACTCTATTTTCTAATCACAATCCAATATCTATAAGGTTTTTCCATACTTTTGTACATCAACTCCAGTGCTCCGATGATCACTGGGACCACTGGCACTGTAATTGTAATTACATTACTAGTCTTTCCCAACCTTTCAGAATTACATAATTTCAATTAGTGGTTCCCAAACCTTTTAGGGGTTACTAGCCCCTTGCGTACCAAAACACAACCCTAACGCCCCAACCTCCTCATGTGAAATAAATATCTTAACCCGCAATAATTGTTATATAAATAAGATACACTGCAAAGGGAAGGCAACATACACTTCAGCTACACTGTCTGTTTGGTGTATGTTATGGTTTAAATGTGACACCGCAACTCTCTTGCTATACACTTCCAACCCTGGATCTCCGGGGTTGGGAGCGATACTGCCTACTTTGGGAATCATTGCTTTAAATCATCATAGTTGTCGATCCTCCTTTCTTTGCTTTCACTTCTCATGTCAAATGGACAGCAGACATCTATCAGTCTTTTTTATCTTCTCCAAATGAAGTAAACCTGGTTGATTGTACTCTACAGTTGTCCCTGTCCGTATCGGAATATCCACAGGATTTCCATTTTCTGTTCTCCAGTACTTTCTTCTTCTTTTTGATCACAATTTCATAATACCTGCCACTTACATACAAGCCCGTCCCTTTTACATAATTTCCAATGAACAGTGCCAGCAACTTTATCCTGCTTCTATTTCTTATACTCATTCTGAGCCATAGTCTTGTATTCTGATACAATATGACTGATAATATCATCTCTCTCCACATACATTCTACATAACGCTGAAGAGCTGACCATGACAACATTCACCTTTGTCCAGTTCTTCCACAGTGCGTCATCCTGAGCTGACGTTAATAATCTTTCCGTTTCCTTCTTCAAATAACCTTTTTCTGATGCATGACCACGTCACCCTCTCGTACTTTAAGACTACTGTGTAAATCCCATCTTTACTTTTTCAGAGTCTGAGTTTCAAATACCTCCTCTTTCCTCTTTTACCGCAACGTAATAGTTCCCAGGTACTATTTTCAATATGGCCATATTGTGGAGTTACTCCACTTACTTTCCTAAAAAAACGCCGCTACGGGACGCTTCCTCAGCCTATAAATAGGAAGTTTCAATCTGTCGTTCTCTCTCTCTCTCTCTTTCTGGTTTTTTTTCTCTCTAGCTTTCAGATGTAGCCGTACGTAAATAAGAACGCCGCCACTGAGGCGCGTTCGCTTCCCTTGGTCCTCTGTTGACGTTTGAACTCTGTCACACACATATATACACATTACTTCTACACAAACACCTTGATTAGTTTAAATGTTTTCTTTCACGTTCATTTTGTCAACAATATTCTGTTGTCGATGTACACATTGATAGTATATACATTACCGATTGTTTCAATGTATAGTTTTGACGTTATTTTTATATTAAATTCCCGGGCTCACATTCTGAGTCTACCATTTTTGTTGTGGGATAAATACATCAGGAGGCACATCTTTTCCGATTTAAACACAACCAGAACTTCGCGTAACAATATAAACTCCTTTTTTCCTCTGCATCATTGCTTCAACACAAATCAGGCTCTTCTCACCAAACATCTGTATATATATATATATATATATATATATATATATATATATATATATATATGCCCAACTCCTTCCGGAGATATTTTTTTCTTTTCATCAAGTAACTCTGAGTGATTGTATTAAGTTTCATCTTTGAATTATTACCATTACATACTCCCCTATACTAAACTCGATTTCACTAAAATCTCTTACGGTGTTTACTCGTCCCCCCACCAGGACGAGATGTGACACAAGGTCTTTTTAAAGTGGGGTCTCGAGCGCGTGCACCCGGGCAAGGAACAAAAATTGCCCTCAGGCCCCGCAACCATCGGTTGCGCTGGCCTCGGTGCGAGCACCGACCCCCCCCCCTTCTTGTACAATGGGAGGTCGCGGCCTCAGGCAGCTATTCTCCGGGGCTGGACACCTCTCTGTATAATTTTCTCCGTTGCCCCTCTGTCCTTTGACTGAGAAGCCCCTGAGCGCACTCTGCCCAAAGATAGAGACGCAACTGAGAGATGGTAAGCCAGCGTTACAAATCCTTCCAAGGAGGAATTTTTATACTTACTGCACTATTGAATGAATTACTTTCCGTACAGCTTTAAGTTGTCCATATATAAAAGATGATTTATCGTATTTCTTCCCTTGCCCAAGGTATATCCACATTTTATGTTATTCAAGATAGAGAGAAATCATTTCCAAGACGAATAAAATTGGAGACACGCTATTACCTTGATAAATTCATCTGACACTTGCTGACACTTGCTGCTGTCTATACTGTTTTCCAGTTCCACACCGTAATTTTTGGTGTAGTGTGCCGCTTTCACCATGTTCTTTTATATGATTGATTCGTATTTTACGGTTTATGAACCTTTTTCAGGATATTTAAAGCCAGAAAATATTTATTAATATATATTTTTAGATAATAATGATTCACTGATACGAGTCTTACTAATTAACCCACAACTGGAGGGTATTTACGAAAACTGAAATTGGAAGCCGACTCTCCGATTAACAAGTCGAGCCATTATCCATTGCACCACCGGCACATCCAAGCTTACAGCATAAAGTATTCCAAAGCGGCGATCCATCTAGGTACTCGGAGGTTGTTTAACTTCGATGGTCCTACGTGAAACGGTGCTTCAATGTGATGTGGCCACAAACTGTGAGCTTGAGATAGATAGATAGATAGATAGATAGATAGATAGATAGATAGATAGATAGATGACTTGGTTTATGTTTTCGCTAAGACGGCAATCGGCCCAAGGATGGAAAACAGCGTGTGACTTTGTTGAGAATTTGGGTAAACATATTTTCATTGATGAAAACAAATTGGAAATAATTTTTATCTATTGTTCGGAAGGTTAAATGGGCAAGTGGGTCCAGGGAAGGAGTCAGAGAATTAAAATTAATGGGGAGAATAAACCACGCCCTTTCTCCTACGCACTTTAAAAATTAGATTGGTCACAAAGATATTTATGCCAGCCCTGAGAAGTAGCCAGAGTCAGAATACCGGGAAAGAAGTTGGAAGGGGGAGAATTTGGTTCCGTCTGTGCCGAGTAGCGGTGCTAGATATGAAGTGAAGCAGGATAGAGTTAAGGGAAGAGCAATCCCTGTGACTACTCCCAAGGAAGGTGGATAATTTGGAAAGTTGATTAAAAAAGCAGAAATAGGGAACAAAGAAAACCTTTATGAGCATTAATGAAAATAGAGGAATCACCAAATCTCCAGAGCCCTTTGGACCCAGACTAGTTTTAGGCCGAAGTGCACATAAGCAGCTGACTTTGGGAAGCTTGGAGACTTTGGGCTGAAATCCTGCATTGAGTGCCTCTGAAATCTACGTCAGCTACCAATCAGATTTCCTGGTTTGGTTTGGTTGTTTTGTTTTATGGCATATCAACCTCAGTGGGTCATTTAATGCCAACAAAATTTTAAAATAAATTCATAGCGATAGTTTTGTAAAAAAAGGTGTGTATGTATACATATATATTTGAATCATTTCTCATTTACTCATATTTTTTAGTACAATCCAACTTCTTTTAGGAAATTGGATGGGTTTATTTTCGTAAAAAGTTTTTCTTTTTTAATTTTTTTTAATTACTTACTTGGTAATATTTTTTCGCACTAGATCAAAACCTACAAACTCTAACAGTATATGTTTCACTGTAATTTTTAATTATTGCTGACAATAATTTTTCCTTCAAAAATCATTGCTGGTAATAATTTTTTATTACAAAGTATTTCTGGTTTTAAAACCCATTTTTACACAAGTTTGGATGTTAACTATTTGCCCATAGATGGGACCCTAACAGGTGCTACCACCCCGGGCCCGGCTGAACCTGGGAATACCAGCAATTAAGAAATGGTTCCACGCTTCTCAAAACCTCCCGATCAGAGGCCTTGCTGTTGGACGTAGTTTATCGTCTTACCCAGGGCGCTCAGATTTCCTAATTCCAAGATTTTGTATTCTCGCTATAGAGATTGATGAGGGAAGGGTTAATTTTTGTTGTACCAAGAGATATATAAACCAAATGAAGATTAATCCCACGAAACTCTCGTTTTATTTTTTCGTCATGAAATCATTTTTCCTTGATATAGCACCCGCCACGGCTTGAGCCAGCGCTGCGGGACCACGAAGTTCGATTTTGCACTATTATAAGATCAAGAATACAGGGTGGTGTGCATCGAGACGGCTAGCTTGAACCAGCGTCAGCATTGACCAGCGCCGAGTTAGCTCCGTGGTTAAAACGTCGATCTAAGACCCTGAGGACCGGACAAATAAAACGTGGTTACACCACTGGGGGTAGGCGGCTAAAGGTGTTATACTTGTAACGCTCTGCAATTCCCGCCTAGCTTGGGGTGAAATGATTAAAAACTTTGTGAACGGCTATGAGACGGAAGATTTGTAATAACTCAAAATGATCATGATTCGACTTTTTTTTATCCATAATTTGAATTATAGAAAGTAGATAGTAGATATATCTTTATGCACATGGTATTAATAATCAGAGTGTGTAAAGATTTTTGAAAATACATCAAAGAATATGCGAGCGAAAAAACTTTCTTACTAGCATGTAATAAACAAGCGCTTTCATTTTTAATTCAGGAAGCTACAAAGGTTGTTTCTTGCAGCTGAAGTCAGTATTCTACAAATTTTTCATGTGAATTACCAGAATGGTTTTTGTAACGAGACGTATAAAAGAATTGTGCTTTCTTCGATACAAGAATAATAATTCTGCAAAAGTGCTTGTCGTTGGAATTGCTGTAATGGCCTCTTTTATCATTTAAGTTACTGAAAAGTTCCAACTTTTCCAAAAGTTCTGTCTGACGACAAATCACAAGAATTGCATACAATCAACTCATTTATATATGAAAAAGAAAAAAAAAGTAATGTCTGTATAATACAGTAGAAGAGATATCGGTTAAAAACGAGATATCTTTTCTAATAGACAATAAACATTAATATCTATACTGCAAACATACTTATATATATATATATATATATATATATATATATATATATATATATAGTTTATCTGACGATCGCAATGGCTTGAAACCCAGGGTCACAAACTCACATCAATACAACTATGTATGTTAGCTCTGTCACTGATATTGAGCGCTTTCCAATAAGTACCGCGCATATATAATATATAAATAATATACATAGAAATTATACATACACTGACACACTCATGCATATATATATATATATATATATATATATATATATATATATATATATATATATATTATAAATTAACTGATTTAAAACATGTTTTCTTCTGCTACACAGTAATAACCATGTTTCAAAAACTGAAGCTAAAAACTTCAAATTTAATTATATACTTTTGTAAAAAATTAAAAAAAATATCAATAAGAACACCGGATTATAGATAGATAGATAGATAGATAGATAGATAGATAGATAGATAGATAGATAGATAAAAAGAGACAATTGGAAAATATTTAATAGTCATTTCCAAGGCGTTTCGTCAATCCTATTTTATCAAGGCAAGTTTAAAGGCAAAATGTTTTGTATTTACATCAAATGCAAAATATTAAAACGGCGACGCTACTGTGCAAGCCTCCTTCTGGATATTGTTACCTTTTTTTTTTTTTTTTACTAAGAATTTGTTTTAATTTCCCATGTCGAGATATTGTCAAAT